GTATATGAAATGAAATTGTTGGTGGTTCCGGAAATTAAAAACATTGTAGCACATTTTGGTATGCTGATTTTAGTCTGTACATTTCAAATGCAACATGCTAGTTTTGTCTGATATTATGAAGTCTGTTTCTGGTTTTGCCAAACGTTTCGAAACAATATATCAAATACTTTACTCTCTCGTCAATTTTGTGGGCTCTTACAGTTTGTAGACCCACCCATCAGCAAAGACCATGAGAATCGTTTAGTTCCTTTCAATGGCATAGTGTATAGTTCTCACTTTGTTGCAGTCCCAATGGTTCCTGAAGGAGAGGCAATAAGTGTTACAAATCAAGGGTATAATTTGGTCTTTTGGCTTTCTTGTCAAGATGGCTGCCTCAACATCTATGGGATGTAGTGTATTTTCTCTTTCATGCAAGGATGGAGGGATTTTGAGAACTGAAAAATGTACGAGCTGCGGTGGTTGTCAAAAATCAAAATGTGTCGACATTTCTCTTCCCACAACATATCTCACTTTTAACTGTATTTACCTCAAATGAAGAGCATGATATGAAGAGTTATTTTGAAACGATCTTCTTGCTGTCATAGGTTGATATCATTTTCCAATACAATATCCACAATACACCCAATAGAATAATATTAAATGTATATCTGCTAAACGTGCCTGCAGGGGAGCACTTCGACAGTTCAGACGACATAGAAATGAACATTCCAGAAAACAATATTGTGCTGTTAGGAATAATTATAAGCAAAGATGTCGGAGGTATAGATTTAAAGTTCGACAACATAAAGTAGATAAAATATGCAAATCTCTCGGTAACCCTACAAAATTTTGGAAAGAGATGCGAAATATTAACTCAAAGACATATACCATTTGCAAAATTAAGCCAACCGAATGGTTAACTCATTTCAAAGATGTCTTCCATACTGCTGATACTTAACCAGTTCTGATACAGACATATATGCCATCATGAGCATTATACTGATATTGATCGATGTATTCTTGATGCCAATATCACTGTTGAGGACATTATTGATGCAATGTATTCTCTGAAGAATGGTTAGTCTCCTGGACTAGATAATCTTCTTGTTGAAATGATTAAAAGTTCTAAGGAAATAATACTGCCGTTTTTGGCGAAATAGTTTAATAAGATATATTCAAGTGGCCGTTTCCCTAATATGTGGTCGAAAGCTATAATTGTACCTCTCCACAAAAAGGGTGATCCTAATAATCAAGCTAACTATAGAGGAATCTCCCTGAGTAGTATACTTAGCAAAGTCTTTACATGTATTTTAAACAAGAGTCTTACGCTTTGGGCAAGTATGAGAGACAAAATCTCGGAAACGCAAGCTGGTTTTCGAAAACATTATTCAACTACTGACCACATGTTTACACTTTATGCCATTGTTCAGAAATATCTATTAAGGCATAAGAAGAAGCTTTATGTAGCATTTGATGACTTTAAGAAAGCGTTTGATTCTGTTGATCGACATAAATTATGGCTTTGTTTGAAAAATTCAGGCATGAATGGTAAAATGCTACATATGTTAAAAAGTATGTATACACATGTGAAAGCATGTGTTCGGTTTGATGGTCAGTCAACAGACTTTTTCGATTGTCTTCTTGGTTTGAAACAAGGCTGCTTATTAAGTCTTATGCTGTTCTCATTTTTTATTAAGGAGTTAACATACGATATTGTCAGACAGGGGAAACACGGCGTTCAGCTGTACCCAGATATTTTAGAGTTATTCATGCTATTGTTTGCTGATGATGTTATACTTGTATCAGATACTGTGGTAGGGCTTCAAAACCAGCTGAATATCTTAGAAAAGTTTACAGATGAATGTGGTTGTGTTTAGGAGAGGTGGTCAACTCGCTCAGTCCGAAAACTGGTTTTACCAAAACACGCGTTAGTCTTGCAGATGAATATAAATACCTGGGCATTTTATTTACTAAGACTTTGAATTTCGGAAAAACTGTCCACAACTTAGCTGTAAGAACCAAGAAAGCAATGGTCATGTTACTTACCACCTAGAGTTTATTTTAAGCTATATGATGCCCAAATACAGTCTATCCTTTTATACGGCTCAGAACTTTGGGGTTTTAAAAATAATGAACCAACAGAGAAAATACATTTATATGCATGTTAGAAGTTTTTGAAGACAGGAATGAACACTCCAAACTGTATGGTTTATGGTGAATGTGGAAGATGTCCGATGTACATTAATGCATGTATCCGTTGTTCAATATATTGGTTTAAAATTTTAGAAATGCACGAAGACCGCCTGCCTAGAAAAGCATACAAAATATTACTTATTCTTGACAATCATGGGTACACAACATTGGCATCAAATATTTGTTATATGCTATTTTATCACGGTTTCGGATATGTGTGGTTGCATCAAGATGTCGATAACAAACATGATTTTTTAAGATTATTCCATAGAAAGTCACTAGATATGTTTCAGCAGGATCGGAGATCGACACTTGAAAAAAGTTCAAGATATGTCATGTATAGATCTTTTAAATCGTTGATTGAACCTGAATTGTATTCAAATGTTATAACACACAAATCTCTGCGCCTAACATATTCAAGATTTCGTCTCGGATTGTCTGAAATAATGGTTAATATTGGACGACATCGTTCTGTCCCAAAGCCAATGAGATTGTGTCCTTTATGTTAAACTTGTATAGAGGATGAACTTCATATACTGCTTGTTTGTACTGTTTATGCTGATTTAAGGGAAGCATATATTCCACAGAAATACCTGCGTTTATCAAATTTGCATTCATGTAAATCTCTGTTGAATTCTAATGATAGAAAAACAATTCTAAGGTTAACACTTTTTGTTCATCATGCACTTTCTCGGTGCAAGAATCTTATAGTATCGTGAAGTCACTTCGTAAAACAATTGTGTACATTCACTTTGTAACATTGTCGCCGCATATGTATTGTATGCAGCAGTTGTACTCATGGTTATTATCTCGTTGTACTCTTGTTTTGTATATGGGCCTGAGGCCTAAAGTGCAATAAAACCTCTTGAACTCTTGACTCTGACACCCTCAGAGTCTGAAACACACTTGTTACCTTAACATTGTAATGAAGACTAATATTACACTGTAATACTGTCCCACAACCATACTTTATATGTTTGGGATGTGAATGATTGAATGAATTGAACAGACAATTGCACAATATAAAACAGGAAATTAATGAATGAAAGAATAATTTAACATTACCTGACAGCCACCACTGACCATCAGTAGAAATTGTTACGTGACCGTCGCATCCAACGAGAGATGGCCCAAATACCAGACACACACACACACACACACACACACACACACACACACACACACACACACACACAGAGTTTCATGGACGTCTACGTGTCACGTTTTCTCTGTTTAACACTCAGTAACAAAGTAATGATAAGAACGTAACCTTGCCCATGTGACGTGACCTGAGTGAGATCGAGATTGACCTTAACGCTGAAGGATAAACTCATCAGGCTATACTAACTCGTTACATGTACAGGTATTACTTCATGGAGCTTTCAGTCGCCCTGGCTGTTATAGTCTAAAAAACGGCACCGCTGATGAAAAACCACACATTGACTTCATTGTGGCAAATGACCTTGGCTGGAATGACGTAGACTGGAACAACCCTGACATCCCCGACACTTGACTGCCTCACCCATAGTGGCGCCATCCTCCTACGTCCAGTCATTGTGTTGCCGCTAGTGATGCTACATCTGTTGTGTTGTTGTGACAAATGCTCTAATGGTATATGTGTTATGTTCTTGTTGTTATATGTGGTACATTTGTGTAAACAGATGCTCAGTAATTATATGATGATAAGAACGTAACCTTCACATGTAGCGTGATCTGATAAGAGGGAGACAGACCTAAAAGTTGAAGGCGAAACAGATCGGGCCATTTCATTAGGTATACCTGCTATCTCATTACAAATACTGGCATTATTTCATGACCATGGCACTTACAGCTGTCATGGCTGTTGTGGTCGCTTTGTGTTTAAAAAGCAGCACTGGTGCAGACAAACCACACATTGTCTTCATCGTCGCAGATGACCTTGGCTGGAATGATGTTGGTTGGATCAACCCTGACATCCAGACACCGACACTTGACCGTCTCGCCCGTAGCGGCGTCATCCTTAACTCCTCTTATGTCCAGCCGCTGTGTTCCCCCTCCAGAAACTGCTTCATGTCAGGCAAGTTTCCCTACCACACAGGGCTCCAGGACAGTGTGGTCTTCATAGAGAAGCCCAAGTACATGCCAGCGGACCTGATCACCATCCCACAGAGGCTGAAGAGCCTCGGCTATGATACCCACATGGTCGGCAAATGGCACCTAGGTTTCTGTAATTGGAAGTACACGCCAACCTACAGAGGCTTTGACACCTTTATGGGCTACTATGCAGGTACAGAGGACTACTTCACACATGTCAGGGACAAGGTGGCTGATTACTATGGATATGACTTCAGGAACATGACAGATGTTTACAAGGGCGCTCAAGGGGATTACTCCACATACGTGTTTGCAAAGAGAGCCATTGATATCATAATGAACCACGACAAGTCAAAGCCGATGTATCTATATCTGCCGTTTCAAGCTGTACATGGGCCACTGCAGGTGCCCGCCAAATATTCAGACCGATACAGCCACATTCATGACTTAAATAGGATGGTTTACAGTGGCATGGTTAGCGCTTTGGACGATGCTGTGTACAACATCACCACTGTCCTTGAGGACCTTGGATTCATGGACAACCTACTTCTTGTGTTTACAACAGACAATGGTGGACCTCCTACAAAAGGTGCCAATAACTGGCCTCTGAGGGGTGGAAAAAACACACTATGGGAGGGAGGTACCAGGGGAGCGGGTTTCGTCTACAGCAAAACTCTGCTGAAAAAGAAAGGTTACACTCACCCTGGTCTGTTCCACGCTGTGGACTGGTACCCCACGTTACTGGACATGAGTCAAGTCGACATGATCCTCAATGGAGACAGCAGCGTTAGGAATCAATTTGTCTACAACATCTATGACGACCACTATGCTGCAGCTCTCAGGTGGGGAGACCTGAAGTTGATGGTTGGTAACCCTGGATACTCGGGATGGTACCCTCCCGCTGGTTTTGACTTCCCAATCATGGATGACACTCCCCTCCCCAGTGTCATGCTGTACAATATCAGCGCCGACCCAACAGAGCACCAGGACATTTCCAAGGACAACCCCGACCTTGTCAACTTCCTGCTGCAGATGCTGGCCCGGAAGAATGGGACTCGGGTGCCTGCAATGGACCCACCCTCTGACCCTCGATCTAACCCAGTCAACTTCAACGGTAGCTGGAGCCCCGGCTGGTGCTAGAAACTACTTCGATATAGTCACGTGACCAGTCGATCCACCGAGAGATGTAATGTGCCTAAAGTCACGTGACCAATCGATCCCCCGAGAGACGTGTTGTGTCTAAAGTTATGTGATTATTTTGTATCTGATTTGCTTGATTATACGTAATTCCTGTCTAAAACCGGATCATGTAGAAACATAATGTCGCATTTAGGAATAAACTGATGCATTCCTCTCTGGAACTGTGATATAAATCTTGTTTGAAAATTAAATTGTCAGTCTACGATGCCCTTTCTGTTGGTTTATTTTTTCATTCGAGGAAGCAATTCTTGTTGTTGTGACATTTCCATGGGTATTAGAGAAGTACTTCCACCTTTATCAGAGCGCTTCAAGACCATTGGTGTCATTGTGACGTTAATGGATTATACAGGATAAATACATCAACGCATCGCGTCCAAAGGGCCATTTTAATTATCTATTTATTTGTGTTTTAATGGAAATTGCATTTATAGAAACTATTTGTTCAACATTATTCCAGATAAGAACAACTCCTCAGGCTACCGTCAGCTTCTAAATGCTTGTCAGAGATGACATTAAGGGACTATATTATCCGGAAATTGAAATAGAATGATGAAATATCGCGATTTATATTGAAGGAAGATTCCGGCATGTGTGCTAATACTTATAAACCAAGAACAAGCCATTCTGGCGATAAGGATTATTACTTACAAAAATTGTGCAGTGCACTTTTTGCAAGTGAAATCAGCATTGATGGTAGATAAGGAGTGGCAGTCTGGCAGTCTGGTGACTGCAAGCGGTTACAACTACATGTTCTTGCTGTTCGTGCTGTTAATACAAGTTCAGCACTATTGATTCTATCTTAAGTGGCGATATCCATACATGATCCGAAAAAATGTAATGGTTATTGCAAGGTTTCTGTGATTCGCCATTTTAGGAAATATTTGTATAACCTCCCTGTTTAGGATAACATGACAATTGTAGACAAAACAGTACCACTCATTCACAAATCAAACACCACATACAAACAGGGCCCTCGGCACACTGCATCTAACAAACAGGAGTCTCTGAATTTGTCACGTCCTTACAAACGAAGGTTTATGATATATGTCCTTTTATCCTGCCACAACGCAAGGTGAAATAATCCTGCCACTGAAAAAAGTTCTTGGTCACTCCAGGTGCCTCAGGACATCATTGAAAATAATGTCCGTGACACAATTTCACTCCTACAAAGTGTTGGATCGTGAGGAGATTTGACACACAATTGAAGCCAGAAGCTGATACACATGTAATGTTGGTCTTGTACGAGTATTTTTGTAACCAGAGTGAGTGAGTGAGTGAGTGAGTTATTATTTAACGTCACATGGGCAATATTTCAGCCATATCGTGACGAGAAAGTACATTTATGATACATTTATGATACATATATTTAAACTGAATAAAAAGCTGTCAACGAAGGACAGTAGAATAACTAGAATATCACAGACTTGATTTAAAACTAGTTGAGAATATTAAAAGGCAGTAAGCATTAATGAACATCACAATTTAAAAATGGGCTAGAAATCGTCAGCAACTGAAGGGAGATCACCATACTGGGGACCATGGGGACTTACAGTACTTTTGCTTCCTGCATGGACCCCGGCAGGATTTATATCATCCCTTCAGTCACTGGCGACAGTGTACCAGTTAAGCCTTAGATTAAAATAACGAAGATACTACGTTTAAAAGCCTAGTGTGCAGAAAAATACTTCGAATGATTTGGGACTTACATACCCTCTTAGGGGGACAATAATTTTACGCTACTTCAACCCCCCTCAAGGGTACAGCCACTAACAATCTAAGTTATGAATTTCGCACTACCAATTTGTAAAACAATACATTGAACACATCAAAATTTATGAAAAAGCTCTATTTCCTTTAAAAAACATAATATTAAACGAGAATTAACATCATTAAAAAGGTCCTTAATTGTTTTTACATTGAAATATTTATCCCTTGTGATGGAAAAATCAACACAGTCAAGCAGGACATGCTTGACCGTGATTCTTTCATCACAAGGGATACAAAACGGAGGATCCTCACCTTGTAATAAATATTCGTGCGTATATCTGCTGTGGCCAATACGACATCGTCGCATAATGACCTCTTCAAATCTGGACTGACAGCCCAAGTAGGTGTAACCGATATTTGGTTTAATTTCATGTAATTTATTGATACCTACTTGGGCGTCCCACTTCTGTTGCATAAGACCGCGGATGTAAGATCGAATCATGGGTTTAAAATCAGTGTATGGGATCAGAAGTGGTGTCACAGATTTGTTGAGGGCTGCTTTTGCAGCAGCATCGGCCATTGTGTTACCTTTGATACCAACATGGCTTGGTAACCAACAAAAGACGATGTCATATTGGCCAGTAGCAAGATCATTAAATAACTCAAGAATTTGGATTAAAAGTGGATGTTTTGAAGACATATTTTTAATTGCCTGAAGACATGAAAGAGAATCTGAAAACAGTATGAATTGTTTATGTTTAGATTGATTACTGATATATTTAAGTGCTGTAAAAATGGCGTTTGCTTCTGCAGTGAATATTGAACTGTTATCAGGTAAACGGGAAGAGATTGTTCTGGATCCAATGACTGTGGCACTAGCAACTGTGCCACCATCCTTGGATCCATCGGTAAATATAGATTTATAAGTGTCATAATTGTTTCTAAGTTGGTGGTATTCTTGTTGGTATATTAATTGGTTAGTATCTGATTTCTTAAGTTTGGTTAATGTCAGGTCTACCTCTGGCTTTACCATTTGCCAAGGAGGAGAGGAGAAAAGTTGAGTAGGAGCTATATCTTGGAGTTTAATATTTGAAGCTGATATTGCAGATTTTATTCTAATTCCGAGTGGTGGATGGAGTGCCGATTTCTTATTGTAAAGATCTTCGTAGAGAGGATGGAATATACATTCAAAAGCTGGATTTGACGGATTAGAATATAATTTAGTGATGTATTGTAGAGATAATTTTAGTCGGCGTTGTTTAAGAGAAGGCTCATCTGCTTCTATATAGAGACTGTGAATGGGAGACGTTCTGAAGGCTCCAAGACAAAGCCTCAGACCCTGATGATGTATCGTATCTAGTTTTTGTAAATTACTTTTGCAGGCTCCACCATAGATGATGGAGCCATAATCAAGTTTGGAACGAATTAGTGACCTGTACAAGTGTAAGAGGGTTGTTTGATCCCCTCCCCACTTTGAATTAGAAACAACTTTTAATAGATCGAGTGCCTTCAGGCATTTAGCTTTGAGGTATTTAATATGCGGGAGAAAAGTTAAGTGATGATCAAAAATAAGTCCCAAGAACTTGGCCTCCTTAACAACTTTGATAGGAGTGTCATTCAGAAATAGTTCAGGGTCCTTATGTGGCTTATATTTTCTGCAGAAATGTATACAATTAGTTTTTGATTTGGAAAATTTAAACCCGTTTTCTAGACACCACTTGTTAATTTTATTAAGACATAATTGTAATTGCCTTTCTATTGTGTGCATATTTTTACCACGACAAGATAGATTAAAATCATCCACAAAAAGTGATCCATCAACTGAATCATTTAAAACTTTTGACAAACTGTTAATTTTTATACTGAATAAAGTGACAGACAAAATACTGCCTTGTGGGACACCCTGATCCTGATTATAATGATCAGACAGGGTTGTACCCACTCGGACTTGAAATTGCCTGTCTGTTAAAAACTGTGATATGAAATGAGGCAAACGGCCTCTTAATCCAAAATCATGAAGATCTTTTAAAATACCATGTTTCCATGTTGTATCGTAAGCTTTTTCTAAGTCGAAAAAGATCGATACAGCATGTTGTCTATTTACAATGGAATTTTTAATGAACGATTCTAAACGCACTAAGTGATCGATAGTACTTCTGTTTTTACGGAAACCGCATTGTATATTGGTAAGAAGATTATTTGTTTCCAAGTACCACACTAATCGATTATTTACCATGCGTTCCATCGTTTTACAAACACAGCTAGTTAAAGAGATAGGTCGGTAATTTGATGGATCAGAATGATCCCGCCCAGGTTTGGGAATGGGGATAACAATGGCTTTATGCCATGAAGCTGGAAACATCCCAGATGTCCAAATATCATCGAATATATTTAACATAGTTTCAAGGCATGATTCGGGCAAGTGTTTCAGCAGCTGATAATGAATATTATCAGCGCCTACTGCTGTATCATGAGCTTGCCCTAAGGCAGTATATAGCTCATGTAGTGAAAATACCTCATTGTAATCTTCACCATTATCAGATGTAAAATTTACTTTTTTCTTCTCCTGTTGGAGCTGATATTTTTGAAATTCAGGAGCGTAATTAGATGAAGAAGAATGATGAGATAAAGTTTCACCAATGCTATTGGCAATGGCAGATTTATCAGTTAACAAAGTATCGCCATCCTTCAGATGGTTAACTGTAGAATTTGATCCCTTGCCTTTGATCTTTTTGATCATGTTCCATACCTTGGACATAGGGGTACGGGAGTTAATTTTGGAGACATAAGTCTGCCAGGATTGACGTTTATTTAGCTTAAATAGACGTCTTGCCTTGGCATTTGAAATTTTAACAGTATTTAAATTATGGACAGTGGGATGTTTACGGAAGTACTTCTCCGCCTTCTTACGACATTTCCTAGCTTGTTTGCAATTAGCATCAAACCATGGTTTACGAACACGTGGGTTGACTGAGGACTTAGGTATGGATTCATTACCAATTTCATTCAGTTGATCTGAAAACAACTGAATTGGGTCAGTAACATTCTGAAAAGAAGTAGGTTGTAATTTATCTTTGCATAAAGATTGAAATAAAAGCCAATCAGCCTTCACAAAATTCCATCGAGGTGAAGGTGGATCAACAGCTGGATTAATGGGCTTAAGCACCGTGGGGAAATGGTCACTCCCACATAGGTCATCATGGACGGACCATGAGAAATCATTTAACAAAACTGAGTCCGTCAAAGACAGATCTAAAGATGAATAGGTACCAGTAGCAGGGTGTAAGTAAGTGTCGGAGTCATCATTAAAAATGCAAAGATCGTTATCGGAAACAAAATCCTCGATCACTTTTCCCTTTTGATTAATGGTTGAACTTCCCCATAGAGGATTATGCCCATTTAGATCACCCATGATGACACAGGGCTTTGGGAGTTGGTCATATAGTTTTTGTAGATCATTTCGCTGAAGACTTGAAGAAGGAGGAATGTATAAGGAGCA